ACACTTTTTCAACCTTGGTATTAGTATTAGTATTAGTATTAGTAATAGTAATGGTAATAGTAATGATGTAATCTATTATAAATTATTTACTTATTTAAATAATAATTATATAAAATCGTAATTCATTTCATTTAAATATTGCAAAAACTACCTAATAATCATCGAATATATATATATATATATATATATATATACTTTCCACCCGTTAAATATAATATTTTGATAACTTACATTGAAAAAATTAATAGCACATTGCACTATCGAAATACAATAAATCATTAAGAATGGCATCACGAATTAATTTTTAGTTGAACTTTTATAAAGATGCAAATTGTCAAATCAAAATTTTAGTTTTTTCAAAAGAAATCGAGGTTTTAGTATATAAGAACCAATCTATTCAAAATTCAAATGAACATGCTTTTTAAATTAGGGATTCTCATATAACACAATAAGTGTCAATACATAGAAAATTAAAAAGGAGTTACTATGTAATGCGATTCTTCTTATTGAATAAAAATATATATTTAGAAACACTTCAATGAAAAAAAATTAATATCATAAATAGATATCTATAGTATTATATAAAATTGATGAAATCAATAATAAAATAATGATGGAAGTAAGTTCAAACATAAGGGTGGAAATCGGACGGTTCGGATCAAAATAAGCACAAAGTAAGTTCAAACATAGGAATAAACACGAATCGGAAAATTTCAATTTTTTTGGCACTTCAAATATAAAATATATAATAATATTGATATTATAATAGTGATTTTCAGAAAAGAAATTTTTGGAAATATCCTCGAAAATTAAATTTTGATTGGAATCGACAAAATAATTTAGCTATTCTATCAAAAATAAAATAATTCAGTTATTTAAGGATTAAAGTAAATTCATTTTTTATTAAATAAAATAATTGATTTCTTTATTAAGAAGGAAATCAATGAAAAAAAATAGTAAAACATGAAGACAAATAGAATAAAAGAAATCATAGTAATCAAATGCATTTCTTTCTATATAATAAATACATCAATAAAAAGAGTAATCAAATGCATTCTTATATATTCGTACATATAAATAAACTTTCAAGTTTTTTTGTCTTAAATCAAATTCTTCACATTGTTTTCTTGTACATAGCTTTTGTAGAGGCACTCCAAGGCATTTTAAGATGTTCTACCACGGGAGGAAAAAAAAACACTAAATCTAAAAAAAATATATTAAAAACAAATTTAATACACTTGTTATAGACAAATATATAAACTCATATTTAAAAAATAATAATTTAATTGTTACATGTGCTCCTCGACTAACATCATTCTTGCAGAATGATGCCCTTTATGCAACCGGCGGAAGAAAGATCATTGTACTTTAGTTTTTGTCCCTGTAAATAAAAATAAAAAACATAGAAAAATATATCCATGAGTTAAATGAGTGATGTGAGATGTATGCAAACATAAATTATTTTTTTTAACAATTAACTAACTATATTAAAAACAATAAAATCAACATAATTATGGGGAAAAAAAATCAAACGAACACATAATAATATACAATATATGTAAATATGAATATTATATACTAAAGAATTTCAAAATATACAAAAATATACAACGTAACAAAATTACGTGAATCGAATAAACTAAATCCGATGTTACACAAACAATTTACAAAAAGAAATTTACGAATTAACAAAAAAGAGGGGAGAGAGAGAGAGATGTATGATTGAAATTGTGGAGGTGATGAATGAGATAGAATGAGTTGGACTTAGTGATATTTATACTTATTTTTTGATACATATAAAAGTAAATAATATATTAATAAGGAAATAAATATTAATTGTAAAAAATAAGTTATGCAATTAACTAAATATTCAGATTTAATTAGGTGAAGAAATCTTTTAATTATTGATATAATTAATTACACGAATTTTTTGAATAATGAAATGTAATCTTTCAAAAATATGTTGCACATTTAACGGAAAGTTATTTAATTTAAATAAAAATTGATTTGTTAAATCATAGTTTACCAAATATTAAAAAATCCGGATTTTTAAATGAAAGCAAAAAAAATCCGATTAAATATAGAAAGTCAATCATAAAATTAAATGCATATTCGAATTTTAGATAATGTTCAAAATATATGAAATATACACACATTTTTTAATTTTAATTTTCAAAATAAAAAAATACAATTTCATAATATATTAAAATTAATATATTAATTTAAATTCGAATTTGTAAACACCTAAGTCTATAATATACTATATTTCCAAGGATAAATGCAAATTAATATGATATCGAAATTTATGGAACAATCGACTTTTAATTACTTGATAAAATATGATTGATATAATATATATTAATCAATGATATAAGCTATATTTAATCATTTTCATATATCTTGATAAATTAATTTATTGATAGATTCATTTGAATTATTAAAGATTTGTAAAAATATTATGTTTATATTAATAATTTTTTTTAAAACATTCAATTGTAATGTAAAGATAAAAATATAAATTTTATAAAGTATTCAAATATAATTTATTCAAATTTTATCGGGTATTACAAAATGTTTAAAAGAAAAAAAATTATTATATTTTTTCAAATTATTCAAATACACTGCAATTTCATAAATTATTCAAACACACTACGAATTTCATAAATTGTT